ATGGACACTTGGGTTCTTCCACATATTGCAAGTTATTGCAAATAGTGCTGCTGCAACAATGTACGTATTTTCATTGAACATCTGATTTCAGTTCTTACGGATGCATACCTAGGAGCGGGATTGCTGGGTCCTGTGTTAATTCTGTGTGTACTTGTGGCTGCACCATCGGCCTCCCTACAGCTGGGTTTGAGGGTTCTAGATTCTCCACATCCTCACTTACTCCGGTTTGTGGGTGACAGCCATCCCAGTGGGGGTGTTGGTCCTTGGTTTCTAAGAGACCCAGGGCTTCCTTCTTGGGAGCAGGGCCCTGAGTGTGTGTCTGGGTAGCTCATCCTAGACAGGACTCAGAGAGTTTTATTTTCACATCCCTCAGCAAGGGACTGCCCACCTGACTGGCATCTAGACAATGGAACTCAGACAAGTGGACCCAATGAGGACATCGCCACATGCTGTCATGAGAACTGCACGCACTGCGCCTCCCCACTCCGGACAGCCCCTAACCAGTAGATACAACATGTCCCCTCTGCAATAAGGCTGCTCCCTGCCCACCTCTTCCCCTCCACCAGCCTGTCACCAGGCAGTTGTATTGGCTCCCTAATGTGTTTCTGACAGTTCACTTGTTATTGTAATTACTGTTTTTAATCTAATTAAATGTTATATTATTGGATAAATCAAAAGTACACCAAGCAGGAGAAATGTTTCCTATAAAAATTCAGATGAACACTTCAGATGAATACTCCCATCTGTCCCTCCAAGGGATCCTGGACAGACCCCTGCTCCCCAGCCTCTTTGCTCTTTGGGGCAAGGAAGGAGCAGGGGGCCCTCTTAGGGAACCTACGGGTTCCTACACAGGAAACAGTTGGGAGGGGGGAGCAGATAGTGATCCAGTATACTATAAATGAATCTCAAAAAAGATATTTGTCAAATTAGGTGTTGGCAAGGCAAATAGAAGTAATTAGGAGAAATACAAAATCCAGTGGAGTTGGCTTGTTAACCACTTTGCAAGTTCCTTTACTTCAAAGAATCTAGAGCTGGGTATTAAAGGGTGGAGTTCATCAATGTCAAGTCCCAAGGAAGGTGATTTAACATTGAAAATGACTCAGCCAGGGATTTAGCTCAGTGGTTTCGCCGCCTGCTGCGCCAGCGCAAGGACCCGAGTTTGATCCCCGGTACCAAAAAAAAAAAAAATTGAAAATGACTGGGGGTGCGGCTCAGTAGTAGAACATTTTCCTAGCACACAAGAAGCTCTGGGTTCAATTCCAAGCACTGGAAAACAGAAAGAAAGAAAAAGATCCATACATAATAGGAGAGGCCTTAAGGAAGACTGGTGACTATATTTGCTCTTTGGGGATTAAAATAGCATGTGCTATGAGTGGGATTGTGTCCCCTGAAAGATATGTAGTCCCAACCCCCATTGCCTGTGAATGTGACCTTATTTGGAAATAGGGTCTTTGCAGGTGGAATCAACTCAAGATGAGGTCATTAGGGTGAACCCTAAGCTATCCTGACTGGTGCCCTTATCAGAAAAAGAGAAGAGATACAAAGACAGGGAGAATGCCATGTGACACAGGCTGAGATTGGAGTGACACAGCTGCAAGGCGGGGAGGCAGCAAGATTTTCAGCCACCACCAGGAAAGGAATGAGAAAGGGTTCTACTCAGTCTCTCAAAGGGAGTGTGGCCCTGCTGACACCTTGATTTTGGACTTTTTGATAAATGCATAGACTGGGTCACGTGAACAACCGGTATTTAGTTCTCAGGGGAGGCTGAGATCAAGGTGCTGGTGGGTTCAGTTCCTGGACAGGGCTTGATTCTTGGTTTACATGGGGGAACCAACAAGGGGAAATATTTCTTACAAACAAATTCAATTGAATATTTTCAATGTCGTCTCCTGAGGCTGAGAGCTCACCTCTCTTGTCTCTTCTAGAAGGCTGCTAATCCCATTGGGAGGGCTCCATCCTCCTGATTCAGTGATTTTCCAAGGCCCCAGTACAAATACCGTCACACTAGGGACTAGGCTGAGAATTTTGAGAGGGACACAATCATTCAGTGCATGGCAGAACTTTGCCCTCCAGAACTATGAGAGAATAAATTTCTGTTGTTTTAAGCCACCTTATTTGTGATAACTTAAGGCAGTCCAAGGAACTAATGCAATGTGTAAAATAAGTAGGAGGATTTAATGATTTCCAGCCCCATCCTTTCTCCCTCTGTGTCTTTGTATCTTTTCTCTTTTTCTGATAAGGGCACCACTTGGGATAGGGTTCATCCTAGTGAACCCAGAGGTGCTCTGCCACTAAGCTACATCCTCAGCCCTTTTTAATTTTCTGTTTTGAGACAGGGTCTCCCTAAATTACCCAGGCTGGTCCCAGACTCACCAGCCTCCAGCCTCAGCCTCTCAAATAGCTGGAATGGTAGGCACACACTAACACATCCAACAGTGACTGCCTTCTTTAACTGACTTTTTCAATGAACCCAGCTCCCAGTCCTGTTATCATCGTCCACACCGTCTTGGGGCAGCAGTCTGGCAGTGGTAGACTGTGAACCTGAAGCTCCACCAGCCACCAGCCTGTGTTTGAAACTGGTTTCTGCCACTAAAGTGTCACCTTGGAAAAGTCCCTTAACTGCTGTTGTGGTTTATATCTAGATGTCTCCCAAAGTCTCAAGAGATAAGGGGTAGGGCTTGTGAAATGTGATTGAATTAAGGGGGCACTTTTGCTGGCTTGGTGTTAGGAGGTGGGCAGGTTGCTGGGGGTGTGACTTGAGAGGATTTGTCTCCCTCCCTGGCTCCACCCTTCTCCAACTGTTTCACCTCCACTGTGATGTGAGCGGTTTCTCCTCTGCTGTGTCCCTCTGTCCTGCCATCCCACGTTAGAGCCAGCCAACCATGGGCTGAAACATGAGCCAAAATAAACCTCTCCTCCTTCGAGCTGCAGGTGCTGAGCGTTGTTATGTCCCCGTGATGAGCAAGTGACTGAGACAACTGCCTTGCCCCTCAGTCCTTTCAAATACAAATCAGATCACTATCGTTCATCCCACACGTATTTTAGGAGCATTGCTTTTTATCCCAGAAGCCAAAAGCAGTGAGCAAGACAAACAAGGTCCTTGTCTTTACAGAGATTATGCTCCACCAATGCAAGCCAGAAAACCAAGAGGCAAACACATAAGTAGGCAAAAACCTAAGTCTGGGACCAGTGCTAAGAAGAAAGTAAAACCTGGCCAGGCATGGTGGTGCACACCTGTAATCTCAGCACTCTGGGAGGCTGAGGCAGGAAGAGCAAATTTTGAGTCAAGCCTGGGTAACATACCAACTTAGAAAGACCCTGTCTCAAAAATAAAGACATAAAAGGGCTGGAGAAGTAGCTCAGTGCAAAGGCCCTGGGTTCAATCCCCAATACTTAAAAAAAAAGAGAGAGAAAGGAAAGAAAAGAAAAGTAAAACCTGAGTTGCAGTAGTGACATAAGAAGGAGGCTAGGTTTTTCTGGTGGAGATGACGTTGCAGCCAAGGTCTGAATGACAAGAGCATGATCCATGATCCATACCATCAGCAGGCCTTGGGGAAGAGCGCAGAACAGCCAGGCTAGAAGGCCTCGGCTGGGACTGGGTACTGCACTGTGGGTAAGGGTGGGGCTCTGGGGATGAAGGCAGGAACCTGTGCTGAGATTCTCTGGCTGGGCCACATCACTACCACGAGCCCTGGGCCAGGGCCCCAGGGAGAAGAGCCCGCACTCAGAAACAGAGTCCCTGGCCACTGAGGAAAGCTGGGGCTATTAGGCCGTGGTGTGGTGGCTGGTGGCAGAGGGAGGAGAGCATCACAGCATCAAAGGGAAAGGGAACTGATGGCCAGCCAGTGAGTGACAGAAGACAGGAGAGTGTGGGACATCAGAACCAGAGGGTTTACTCCAGGCTCCACTTCTGCCTTTTGGTTCCAGGGGCCCTTCTTAGCTGTGTCAGTGTGTGCTTCTGTCAGCCTCAGTTTTACTCATCTAGGACATGGGTATATTAGGGAGAAGTTAAGCTGCTGTAACAAAGAGGGCACAGCAAGCTGATGGCTTATAAAAGATCATGTCTCTCTCTCTCTGGTAACAGTCCTCAGTGGGCATCCCAGGTGACTGTTCCATGCAGACCCAGGAACCCAGCTCCCTTCCCATCTCCCCACTCCTTAGGACATTGTCCTCCTCATCATAATCAAAGTCAGGCACTGACCTATGCTTGTTCTGTTTTGTGAGGAAAGGAAAGAGAGTGTAGACAAGGAGCCCGCACAGTTTTTCAGCTAAGGCCCCCATGGGGCTCACATCATTTCTGCTCGATTTCTACTGGCAGGAACGGGGTCCTGTGGCCATCCCATCTAAGTACTAACCAGGCCCAACCCTGCTTAGCTTCTGAGATCAGGCACATTCAGGGTAGTATGGCCGGAGAGCCTGTGGCCATCCTTAACTCAAAGGAGGCTGGAAATGAATTCTGCTCATGTTCCAGGTAGAAAGGGGAACCAATTTTGAAGGAAAGCTTGCACCCTGGGCTAGGTGAATATAATAATCCTGTCTTGCAGGGGTCTACTGAATATAGATAAAATACTTAGTAGGTGTTTAATAAAAGTACTTTACATTGAGTGCATAGATCCAGGAGCCTGAAAATTCACTAGCCTAATGGCCCCACCCTTTGCAGATAGAGAAACAAGCCCAAAGAGGAGAGTGACCTTCCTCGGTCACCCAGTGGGTAAGGGGCAAAGTTGATCAGGAATCCTAGCTGGCATCCTCAACCCCATCCACTCATATCTCACTTCAGATCACCTGGTCTAGTCCCCATGTGGGCCTGGCCAGAGTGGGACCCAGATTACCTACCTGGGCCAGGGTTGAGGAACTTGATCCTAAGAGGAACACTGTGCCCCACAGCAGTGCCTTGGCGGGGACAAAACAGCTTTATGACTAAGTAGGTGTGGCCCTGGTTTCCAGGATAGATGCCCAAGCTGCTCTGTGACAATGGGCCACACCCGCCCCCAGGGAAGAGAGTTGGGCTGTGGGCAGCTCCCTGTTGGGATGACACAGCAGGCGGCTGAGGGGGATGGCAGGCCTGGTTTCCCTCCTATTCGTGGGCTTGATCCTCCTCCTCAGCGCTGTGGCCCAGGGGGAGCACGCTGTGATCCACGTGGTGTCAGAGACCTGGAGCAAAGACTACTGCATCCTGTTCAGCTCTGACTATGTCACCCTACCCCGGGAACTCCACCATGCCCCACTCATGCCCCTGCACGATGGCACCAAGGCATCTTGGTGCCCAGGCGAGGATCTTTTCCACCGGGCCCAGATCAGCTTCTCCAGACCACAATCCCTCCACCACACCACCGCCATGGCCATGGGGGGCAACTGCAGCTTCTACGACAAGGGCTGGCTGGCTCAGAGCCGAGGAGCCCATGGGCTTCTCATTGTGAGCCGCGTCAGTGACCAAGAGTGTTCAGATACCACCCCGGTGTCCCAGGACCCTTGCCAGCCCCTGCCAGACCTCACCATCCCTGTGGCTGTGCTTCGATACACAGATATGCTCGACATCCTCAGGCACACATATGGTGCCACCACTGTCCGCGTGGCCATGTATGTGCCCCCAGAGCCCATCATCGACTACAACCTAGTGGTCCTCTTCGTCCTGGCAGTAGGCACCGTGGCCGTGGGTGGCTACTGGGCTGGCATGATGGAGGCTTCTTGGCTGCAGCGGCGCCGAGCCCGAGGAGGAGGGGGGCCTGACGGTTACCATCAGCCGCAGGCAGTGGCAGCTGAGGGACCACCAGGGATCCATGAGGACGAAGATGATGAGGACTCTCCAGTGGACCTCACAGTGGCCACTGCAGGTGCCGCGGTCACTATGTCCTGCTCTATCGTGGTTCTGCTCTACTTCTTCTATGACTACTTTGTCTATGTCATGATTGGGATTTTTGGTCTGGGTGCCACCACCGGCCTCTACAGCTGCCTGGTTCCCCTCATACACCACCTGCCGTTCCAGCAATACCAGTGGCCACTCCCTGGCCACCAGGCCTCTCTGCAGCTGCCCCAGCTACTGCTAGCGGTTCTGTGCACCCTGGTGACCCTCTTCTGGGTCACCTACCGAAATGAGGACCACTGGGTGTGGCTTCTGCAGGACCTGCTGGGCATGGCTTACTGCCTCTTTGTCCTGCGGCAAGTGTGGCTGCCTACATTCAAGAACTGTACCTGCTTCCTGCTGGCCCTGCTGGCCTTTGATGTCTTCTTTGTCTTCATCACACCCCTCTTCACCAAGACTGGTGAGAGCATCATGCTGGAGGTTGCCTCAGGCCCAGAAGATTCTTCAAGCCACGAGAGGCTGCCCATGGTGCTCAAAGTGCCCCAGCTGCGGGCCTCAGCCTTGACACCGTGTGACCAGCCCTTCTCTATCCTTGGCTTTGGTGATATTGTGGTCCCTGGTTTCCTGGTTGTCTACTGTCACCGCTTTGATGTGCACATCCATTCTCATCGGGTCTACTTTGTGGCCTGCACCATAGCTTACGCCATAGGCCTGACGGTCACCTTCTTGGCCATGATTCTCATGGAGATGGGCCAGCCTGCCCTGCTCTACTTAGTGTCCAGCACCCTGCTTACCAGTCTGGCTATGGCCGCCTGCCGCCAAGAGCTCACCCTCTTCTGGACTGGCCAAAGCAGACCTCAGGTACCTTCTCAACCTGTGGCAGGGGTCTGTGTTGTCCCTGAGAGTTGCTCCAAGCAGAGACAGGAGGGCATAGCAGATGGCCATAAAGCCAGTGAGTTTGAGGGGGCCACTGACCAAGGGGCAGGGGACTTGGACAGCAACTCTGGGGATGACACAGCCGACATGGTCACCATATCTGAAGATGAAGCCACCAGTCAGGAGGGCCACAGTGAGAACTCTGAGGGCTGGAGTGATGCCAACCTGGATCCTGATGACCTGTCCCCTTCCTCCTCCAGGGCTACAGAGGATCTGAGGCCACTGATGCCAGTGGCCATGTTGATCCCGTTGATCCCACTGATGCCACCACCCTCAGAGCTGGGCCACATCCATGCTCAGGCCCAGGCCCAGGATGCCAGCCTACCCTGGACAGGGCTCCAGAGGAGGAAGGGCTTGAAGGTAGAGAAGAGCATGTCAACGCAGGCTCCCCTGTGAACCAGAGCCCCTGGGAACTGTGCCTCTGAAAGGGCTGGCAAAACATTGCAGAGCAAAGTCATATGTGATGAAAAAGATTGGGGCATTAGAGAAATTCCATAGCTAACTGAGGAGCCTCTTTTCCTGTTAGGATTGTAAGAGGGCAGCAACCGCAGAATAAGTCTGTGCAAAGATAGGAGGCTCACTGAAAATCCATACCACTCCCAAACTGTGCAAAGGAGAAACAGGCTCAGAGAAGGCACATGACTTGTACCAATTTACCCCCGTCAGGAATCGCTCCTGGAGCTCACTGGGCAGCTACTTCCCCTCTCCCTACTTGCCCAGCCCCGAAGTCTGGCAGACAGCCCCTGACACATCCCTGATACCACTCCCAGCCTCGTTGCCCATCCTCTCCCCACACTCAGGCTAACTGGAACATTGCTGCTTTGGGGTATCTCCAGGTCCTCTCTCTCTTTGCACATGCTGTTCCCTCTGGCTAGGATGCTGCCCTTCCCACCTCAGACATGGTTCCTGGCTCACTAGAAAATTCCCAAGCATCCTCCAAGCCTCAGCCACATTCCTTGGGCTGAACCTCTCTGCTGAAGGCCCATACAACAACACTAAGCCTAGCCCCCACTGCCCCTGCTGTATGCGCCTCCTTGTGGTGGGCACGGGAAAGGACCCTGTCTAACTGGAGGAAGGGTAGGAGTGGAGGACAGACAAGAATCACCCTGAGAATTGTCTTAAAGTGGGGACCGGGGGGACTGGAGAGCTTGGGGCTGGGTGGGAGAGAACAGGAGATCTCAGCCTCAGTTTCCACACCTGGCTCACTGACTGTGGATAACAGAAGCCTCTTTGAAGGTCTCATCTGCAAAATGAGACTTATAATACCAAGAGGCAGAAATGACCTGCCAAGGTCCCTACAGGCTTAGGTCTTATGTTGAGATGTTGCTTCCTCAGAGCAAACAAATTCTGGGGTGAGAGAAAGCTTCTTGAAGGAAGCTTTGTTGGAGATAGGAGAGAGTTGTATCCCAAGAGACAAAATGTCCCACTGGTTAGGTGTCTGGAGCGGGCTACTTATCAGAAATCCCAGCTCCAACACTGACTTGGTCACTGAGGAAGTGACTTAACCTCTCAGTGCTTTGGTTTACTTATCTGTAGGACCCACCAGGGTTTGGGGTAAGTGTGAATGAAGTGGTGAATTGACACAATGAATGAAACAGGCGATTGACACAATGCCCTGAGGGTAGGAATTGCTAATGTAACCTAGGTTTATCCCCCGCTTAGCACAAGCCTAGCAGAGTGAAATTCAACTCCTACAAGGCCTTAGGGTGCCACCTGGCCTCCCCTTCCACCCCCTTTCAGCACAAACGCTCATGAGACCCCACCCTCTTCGAGAAGAGGGTGCTCTTCTCCACCACAAGGTCCCCTTATGCCTCTCCTCCACCTGGAACTTTCTCCCCACAGCCCCACAATACTCTGTCAGAATTTGGTCTGGCTTCTCCTCCTCCCACCCCTGGCAGATGTCCTTTCCTCAGAGAGGGCTCCTTGTAACCCTTTCTGAAGTACCTTGGCCTTAGTCAAGTCATTGTATACCTCACCTCTTGGTTTTCTTGCCTGTCCCAGGAGAATTCAGCTGTGTGGGGACAGAGGCCTCATCCCTCTATTTCATCTGTGGAGTTTCACGGCTAAGGATAGATTGGGCCTGGTGTGTCATAGGTTCTGGGGTTTATGTTTTTTCAAGGAATGAATGAATGAATGAATGAGGAGCTGACCATCCTGAATTGTAGAGGAAAAGGGACACCACAAAGGAAATCCTAGATGTTCAGACAGACTCACTGGGGTCATGCAAGGCCTTGGTCAGAGTGGAGGTGAGACGCTGGGTATCAGGCTAGGCCCAAAGTGGAGTCAGGGCACAGCAAGGCAGGAGTGCAGGGGATGGGTGCCTTGAAGCCCCACTCCAGGGAAGAGCAGCCCTCAGCTCACAGCAGCTGAAGGCCCAGCTCCACAAGAAAGAGTATGGCACTCAGGCCAGGATACTGACTGGAGGTGATGGCAGCCCCTCCCACTGGAGCCACTGGGCATCTGGCCTGGACAGAGGGGCCACCACAGGCCCTGGCTCATCCCCAGTCCGGGCAGCCTCCCCATGGCTGATCTGCGTCAAGGCTGACCTGTGCCAGGCTATACTCCTGCCAGGCCCAAGGGGAAGTGCTGGACAGAGCCCAGGCCCCCTACCCCATAGGCCTGAGAATGGGTGTGCAGGCTGGAGGAAATCTGTCCCAGACATTTGAAGTCGGGGTGGTTCTGAGGAAGCCAGCCAGAGCTCCATATGATAGGGCCAATGCCAGCCTCCAAGGAGAGGAGTCTCAGGGAGGGTCTGGTGGGGTAGGACTTCCCCTTCTCTTTTCCCTCAGTCCTAACAGGGAGGTCAAGGCTGGGGTCCTGGACTTCCGTAGTGACCCCCTCCCCAATAGCTTGGTACGTGGTGTTCAGGCAGCAGGACTGAAGTCCCCACAGGGGTCCAAAAGCCTGGTCTTGGGTGGATGATAACCCAGTGCATGGTGGGTATTAGGGGCTCAGACTGTCTCCAGGTGGCCTAAACTCTACTTCGTACTGGGAAATTGTCCTGCCCACCTAAGACTTGGCCCCCTCCTGAGGGCAGCAGACACACTAATGTGGGAAAATCTCTGGGGGAGCAGTCCATCTCAGCGGACCCACACTAGGGGCAGGCCTCCCTTCTACCTCCATATCCCTCTCCCCACAAGGTGTCTCCCCGAGACCATGACCCTGCACGTCTTGCCCAAAGCTCCCCCAAGCCTCATTCCCAGGTATTCAAGCTAAGACCAAGACAACTGCCTTTTGTGTGTGAACAGGAAAAACTACGTAGGCTTCCTCACGCTCCCCTACACCCTCTGAGCTCCTCTGCCCAGGAAAAAGTAGAGGGAGGGCTGGGTCAGGAGACAGGCAAGTTCCTTCTCTTCCCTGCCTAGGACACTCAGCAGCAATTCTGCCCATTTCACAGACGGGTTTGGCAAGGACTTTGGGTTGAGCTAGCAGCCTGAGATGTTCAGCCGCAGGTGCTCAGCACACCTTCACGTCAGGTTGGGGAGGGAGCAGATTGTGGCTGCTGACATTGCAGATTCCTGGCTACAACTCACAGTTCTAATTGGCAGGCCTGCAGTGGGACCAGGCATCTGTGTATTTGAGGGGCACATTTTTTTCACCCTAGGCTGAACACCTGAGTCTGGCCTTGGTCTCTTGTCTTAGCCAGGCCAGGTGTTGAAGGAAAGAGCCTAGGACCCAATATGCTGTCCAGGGACAGATGCTCCCTGTCACCCTGCTACACACATCCAGCTGGGGACCACCCAATACCTTCTCCTCCCCTGGACCTCCTGCACCCCTCTGGCCAATCTCAGCCAGGCCCAGGAGTAAGTGAGTCAACATCGCCAGCTCAACAACCAACTTCACCCCTCCCTGCATTTTAGAATGTTCTGACTCTGAGGTAAAGGCTGTCTTTTTTTATTCATCTTCCACTGGGCACATGACAGGCACTCAGACATCTGTGGGATAGATGAATGCCCTTATCTGTGCAATGGGTTTAATTACACTACCTGCCCAGGGGGTTGTGTTAAGTATTAAACCCTGGGGAAAAGGCCTGAGCCCTGTTCCTGGCAGAGTCAGGACATCAGAAACCTTGTGCTGCTGCTGTGGTTGCTGCTGTTTCTGTTCTCAGGGGCCTGGAGTCACTCACTCCTGCCCAGAGGGCTCCCTGTAGCTGTGCTTCCTGCTTTACTTGGCTGGACCAAGCTGTCTCCTGCCAGAGGTGCCCAGAGCTGGCAGCCCCCACCTAAATGCTAGGACACAAGATAGTGCACATGTTCATGAGCACACACATGTACATATGCACACACATGTGCATGCACACACACAGCCACACACCCACCTGCACACATGCTCCACACTTGCACGCATGCATACCAACATGCATACTCACACCTATACAAGTGTACCTACACTGAACATGTGCACACACCCTTGTGCACACACACCTGAGCTCTGACCTGTCCTCCTCAGATCCAGCCCTCTCCTACCAGACCTTCCCTGCACCCGGGAGAGCAGGTGGTCAAGGCCTACCTTCTTCCTGGTGAGTAGACAAGGCCCAGATTCCCCTTCAGAAAGGATTCACTACCCAGCTGGCAGCCTCCTTTAGGGTCCCCTTCTGCTTTCTAGCCTGTTCACACTTTTGGGCTGCAGACATGGCGGAGGCACTGCTAAAGGCTGAGCAACAGTGGCACCAGGGCCTGGCCATTTCTGCCCAGCCTAGCTTCTCTAACAGGTGGTCTTTGCTTGCATCCTTCGGGGCTGGCAGAGCCTGCCCTCTGGACTGACTGCATCCTGCTGTAATCGGCTCCCGGCCTCTTTGCTTGCCCCTGATCCATCTCTGCTTCCGCTTCCTGGAGGGTCCAGCTTGCAACAGGTGAAACCTAAGGTGAGGCCAGGGCAGAATAGACTTCTCAAGGCCACACCAAGGCTCCAGGTGGTCCAAACCAGAATTGGGGCTGGGTTTCCCTCAGGCATCCAGGATTTCTCTTTATGGCCTCATATAATCCCAGCAAGAATGCCATGGGTCTTAGCCTTATTTTCAGTTAATGAAAGTGTTTGATGCTGGAGCTTCTGGCAGTGAGAAACAGTAAGGACTTGTGGAATGAGATCTCATCCACATACAAGTAAAGGAAAGCCCAGAGAGGGTCAGGGTCTTCCCAAGGCCACACAGCAATAGAACAGAAGAGATAGAGCAGAACTCTGGTTTCCTCCCTCCCAGTCCAGCAGCTGGGACCAGCTCTCATCCTCAATCCACCCTCTATCCATGCTCTCCTGAAAACACACAACCCTCAAGAAAACTCTGGATTCACCCTCCCTTGCTCCATTCCCCTCAGTAAGTTTAGCCCCCAACATCACTGAGAAGTAGCATTGCTTGCTAATGAAGGTGTGTGATGCAGCAAGCGCCAAGGACCTCCCCAGCTAAGGAAGGAAACACAGCTGGATTCTAGGTCCCCAAGACCTGGGCTCAAAGCACATCACTTTCATTTGCCATGTGACACCCAACAAATGTGGCCATTCATCTGTACCTTAGTTTCCTCCCCCATAAAATGGG